GGTATACTGCGTCTATCTTTACGAGTTTTTTGTCTTTTAGCATTACCCTGATCTCTAACTTCAGGTATTTTGCGTCGTATTTGACGAGTTATATTTCTCATCACACTTTCTTGTTCTCTAACTTCATTCATGCTTCGTCTATGTGAACGAGTTTCATTCCTTCTAGCTTTTTCCTGATCCTTAACCTCAGTCATGCTTCGTCTATGTGAACGAGTTTCATTCCTTCTTGCATTTTCCTGATCCTTAACCTCAGGTATGTTTCGTCGTTCTTTGCGAGTTAAATTCCTCTTCGCATTTTCTGTCTGTCTATTCTGAGGACACTGCCTTTTTTTCGTCTAGATAAATTGTTTAGTTCTTGTTGTGTAAGTCCTTGAAGAGAGGCATTTAGATTTTTAGAATGTTTTGGACTGTATAAACTTTTCTTATGGATATTTCTCATGTCTTGATCATTTAAATATTCACAGAACCAATTCAGTTCTTTGGTTCTAGCAGGTTCTGTAGGAATATCTGTAGCAGAAGTGGTCGCAAACAAATTAGTATCCTGAATTTTTCTCTTTTTATGAAAAGATAAACAAAAAACTCTTGTGATTCATTTAGTTGAGGGAACTGTAATGATAGACAATATATAGTACAACATAATTTTGTATACCCCGTCTATTTTTTTCTTTTTTTTCTTGTCGCATTAATTCTTTTGTTCATTTGTTTTATTAGTTTTTCTCTCTTTTTTTACTGCAGTATCTTTTCTGTCTTTTTGCCAATAAAGGGACCAGAGTAACAGACTATTATTGGTCATATTGTATTATATATGTTTATTATTACAAATTGCCTACTTCATTTGCTTTAATATTATATCAATCAACTAAATCAAAATCAATCATATTATGTACTTTGTTTAACCTATTTTAATTTACTTTACATTATGTTTGAAAATTATATTGTAATTATTCTGCTCATTTTGGGCGCCGTGATTGGCAAATAAAATATTTGTTTGTTTGTTTGTTTGTCTTTTTGCCACTGTAATTCCAGGTTTAAATTGTATATAAATTGTACTAACCTTTTGACTGTCAATTTTAGAAGTTGTTGGCTGTTGAATTTGTGAGTTGGGATTGGCCACAGCAAATAGTTATTGAGATGCTGGTCTTGGAATGTCAGTATCCTGATTTTTTCTCTTTTTCTGAAGAGATAAACAAAAAAATCTTGTGATTCATTTAGTTGAGGGAACTGTAATGATAGACAATATATAGTACAACATAATTTTGTATACCCCGTCTATTTTTTTCTTTTTTTTTCTTGTCGCATTTATTCTTTTGTTCTTTTGTTTTATTAGTTTTTCTCTCTTTTTTTACTGCAGTATCTTTTCTGTCTTTTTGCCACTGTAAGTCCTGGTTTAAATTGTATATGAACTGTACTAACCTTTTGACTGTCAATTTTAGAAGTTGTTGGCTGTTGAATTTGTGAGTTGGGATAGGCCACAGTAAATAGTTGTTGAGATGCTGGTCTTGGAATGTCTTTGGATTCCTCTGTACCTAGTTTCTGTGAAAAGTGAAGAAAAAATATAGCCTAAGCCAGATACAATGTCACATGATTAAGTATTATTAGTGAAAAATAAGAGAGAAAAAAATAGCCTAATGCCAGATGCAATGTCACAAGAATAAATATAATTAGTTTGTCAGTTTAAAGAGAGAGAATTTGATTTTGATAAACAATTTCTGAATTAATAAAATTGAAAATGGAAATGGGGAATGTGTCAAAGAGACAACAACCGGACTATAGAGCAGACAACAGCAGAAGGTCACCAACAGGTCTTCAATGCAGCGAGGAATTCTCGCACCCGGAGGCGTCCTTCAGCTGGCCCCTAAACAAATATATATATGCCCTATACTATATATATAATACATACATGACGTTCAAGCCTCTTCCGTAGCTTGTCTTCCCTATTCTTCTGACTGGGTGATTTTTTGTTCTGCTTAGGCATTTTGATGTGTTTCAATGTTGCATATCTAAAAAAAAAAAAAAAACTTTATTACTTAAATTATACATAAGACAGTGAAAATAAATACAATTTAAATGTTAAATAAAATTTCTGTCCAAACAGTATACAAGAAAAAAAGATAATGATGATTCATAAGAAACATCAGATTTACATATATATGCATATACAACAATTAAATTAGTACAAAAAGTTTGTGATAATCAATTATTGTGAGTCTGTATTGGATGGTGGTTGTGCAGCAGCTGAATTATTTAAATCATCCATGTCTTCATCAAACGACATTGCATGAAGAACTTCCTGGCTAGAATCAAGGTCTCTATTCAACTTTTTGCATTCATCTTGTGCCTCATATTGGTCACGTCTTGCCTGAGAAATTTGTTTCCTTAAACTTAGGTTTTCATTCCTCAAACCCTCAATTTTCTTTTGAGCCTCCTTTAACTCTTCATCAGTTTTAGTTAAATTGGTTTTAACTGAATCAGCGTTATGATTTACATCGTCCACCAAAGTTGTGATTATCTGTCAAATCACTGACAGTATTCATATGCTCTTCTGAAACTTTCCCATTTTTCTTTACTTTGAAAAGCATGCCTACTATTTGCAGTGATACCCCTTTTGCTTTGGTGGCAGACTTTTTTTTTTAATATTATTCACCCTTTCCATTATCTGAATAAAGAAAAATGAATTAAAGTAATTTTATTTGAGTGCAACAACCCTGCTGTGATAGGGCCATAGGGGGCATACAAATTGCCTTATATAACTATAAACTACAAGAACCCTGAATTGCTCACATGGGAAATCACTATATTCAGGCATTGTAATAATTAATATTTTCTTATTCAATGTCTTTTAAGTGCCATTATTACATGGTTTGATTCAGAACTTGGTTGAAATTGACAAATCAGTTTAGGAAAGGAGATATAAATGTGAAATATAAACAGATGGATGTATACAAATGAACAAACATAACACAGAGTCAAAGTGATGAAAAAGGCTTATACTAGTGATTGGCTAGGTGAGCTAAAATAACCAGCATCTGATGCCATGAAAAACCAGCTCACTAGAGCCATTAAAGTGTGTGTAATTTGCAGACTAATCCCTTCAGTATCTGCATTTGTAGAGGAATATACATCTGTATAACTCCAGTTATTATGATCCACTGTATAAAAGAAATAAACCATTATATTTGTCCATTTGCAGCAGGAACAATCTACATCTGTCAAGCTAATGTAATCAACAGTGTTACATTTATTAAAATTCAGAACCAGAATTTAACATATTTTATAATGATTATGCCAAGTGCATGACAATACATGTATTGCAAACAAAATATGTGAAAGTGCTAAATGAGAAACAGTATACATGTTCATATGTTACAATAAAATTTAAAGTATGATGATGGTTGAAATAAAGCATGGTTGGATGATATAAGCTTGACAGGTGAAGTGATGTCATTCATTTCTAAACAGGTAAGAAATTAAAAAAAATGTTAAGACATATAAAGACATATAAAGCATGGTTAATTTGGCCAGTGATGCACATTCTAATAAAATAATACTATATATATAGCTATTTCTAACAAAGCTGAAGTAAAGTTAACATTACAATTTCTTAATTTTTTTTTATATATGAATGTGAAGGTGAATCAGTGTTACCAGCACCTGACCACGAGGAGGATCTAAATATGCAATACAATTAAAACTACATATTGAGACTTAACCATGCAATGTGATACCTGGCACATGTGATACCTGGCACATGTGATACCTGGCACATGTGATAGCATTGTATATAACATTTATGCATGCAAGTGTAAATAAAATAGTGAATAGTGACTATAGTTATTTATATATCTGATGAAATTTGAATATTAAGCAGGAAAGAAGGCAAAGTATCACAGTCAGTAAAGCCTGAGATTTAATGTTTAAGGCCAAAATCCATCAGTCATGCAGAAATACACACAATTACCATTGAAGGAAATTTGTTTAAATCTCAAACTGTACAAGGTGCCACGATGGAGATTGCAAGCACAGTAAAAAGAAAATAAAAAAATAGTATTACCTTTATCAATCATAGAATGCTTTTAAAGGTAATGAATCCCATTTCTGTTGTATAATCTGCCAATAATACTCGGGTAACACAATTTTTCAATTTTTCAAGAACCGAAACTTCTGAATGGTACAAGTCAAAATCGTGATTATTGAACTTGACCTCCATTTTGTTGTCAGTAACAACATATTAAAATTTAAAAAGGTTTGGTTGAACAGTTCATGAGTAAATGCACGGACACGACATTTTTAAACTTTCAAGAACCGTAACTCCTGAAGGGTAAAAGTCAAAATCGTCATTATTGAACTTGACCTCCATTTTGTTGTCAGTAACAACATATTAAAATTTAAAAAGGTTTGGTTGAACAGTTCATGAGTAAATGCACGGACACGACATTTTTTAAACTTTCAAGAACCGTAACTCCTGAACGGTAAAAGTCAAAATCGTCATTATTGAACTTGACCTCCATTTTGTTGTCAGTAACAACATATTAAAATTTAAAAAGGTTTGGTTGAACGGTTCATGAGTAAATGCACAGACACGACATTTTTTAAACTTTCAAGAACCGTAACTCCTGAACGGTAAAAGTCAAAATCGTCATTATTAAACTTGACCTCCATTTTGTTGTCAGTAACAACATATTAAAATTTTAAAAGGTTTGGTTGAATGGTTCATGAGTAAATGCACGGACAACATTTGGTTGCCGCCCGCCCGCCCGCCGTACATCCCCAAATCAATAACCGACATTTTTGACACAAAAATCCGGTTAAAAATGAAATAAGTATAATAGTGCGTATTTTTCGTTTTCAAGTCAGTACTTTTAACCTTTGTCTAGAAATCTATTTACGATTACGTGTTATAATGGCAGCCGAAAATGTTCAATTTAGTCAAATTGTTACTTCCACTGGTAGAACGGCATACAAAACTCAATTCGGGAGAGGGAAAGTGCTTACCTATAAAAAAAAAAGTCCGCTAGAGGACTCTTTTATTTAGACTTGGCTGCGTCAAATGGATCTATGAAGCTGAATTTAGGGCTGGACGAGCTGGATGATCTGTTTACACTGAGGGGGCACCTAGAGTCCCTAACGGCATACTTTCCACAGGTAAGACTATTTTCTTTCTTTTTGTTTTTACACGAGGTTCACATGTAGGAGTTTTCTTTAAAAACCGAGGAAATTAAAGATTATACCCTTTGAGGTGTTTTTATTTTCTCTGTTTGTATGCGCTTACCGTAAACAACAGGAAGGTTTTAAGTATTGTCTATTACCGTTTATCTTTCTGTTTATCTATCTACCTCGCTTTTGTTAGGGGAGATATCGGTGTTCACATTTGCCTTTTATTTTAACTAATTTAATGCAACAATTGAATAACATAAAACGAAGATGTGGTATGATTGTTAATAAGATTAACTCTTCACAAGAGAACAAATGATACAGAAATTGTCAACTTTTGGTCACCTTGCGACCATCAACAATAAGGAAAACCCATACCTCATAGTCAGCTATAAATAGCTTCAAAATGATGAATGTAAAACAAACATCCGAGGGGAGAAAAAAGATAACAACCTAATTTATGTACAAAATAATGAACGAAAAACAATATGCACACCACCAACACCTCTCGCAAGTATAAAACTTTCTTCATATCATTTGAGTTTGAGTTTTATTTTATTTTTCATGTTTTAGCCGCTCTCCCAGCCACATGAGCAGGTTGTGCCTAAAGAAAATGTAGCGCCGGTTTATGCACCGCCACCACCACCAACACCTTCCGTAAGTATACATTTATTAATGTAGAGTTTAAATATGTTCAAGAATCATGATTGATTGTTGGTTGCTTAACGTCCAGTGGCAAATATTTCATACATGTTCAGGGTGAGAACAAGTTAACAATACATACAATAGGTAAGTCTTGCAATAGAGGGTGGGTTTTTTTTTTCTTCTCAAGAATCACCATGTATTCTTAACTTAAATGCGAACAAAGCAATACTTGTTTTTTAAGTATAGAATTGAACTTGCAAACAACCTTTTGTTCTTAAAAAAAAAGATAAGCAACACTGAAAGTATTTCATTTCTCTCTGGTTTATTTATTTAAATATTTCATTTTTATTATTGCAGGCACCTCTAACAATAATATATGAAAACGAGACGTCAACTACCACTCCACTTCAAACTATAACAGACCCGATGTGGAGCAAAGGAAATATGATTCCGGTGAGGGTGGCCGCAAAGAGACCGGTACGTGAAGAATTACACCCACAGTGGTCTGGGAAGAATACAAAATATGAACAGATTTCCCCTGTGAAAAACAATTTATATGATCTCTCTGAGGAGGAAATGGGAGCCTTTTTCCAATCGATGTGATGATGCTCAATGTGGTGTGACTTTCATTCAATGTGGTGTTTATAGGAATAACATTTATAAATTTCATTACGGACATATATGCAAACAGACTGACACGGTTAGTTTTTTTTTTTAAATATTTAATAAATACTATCACTAATATGTGTCTATCTTATAATGTCCATAGGCATAGCTTTCAATTGGGTTCTTCCAGTAACGTTTATCATCAAAACTACACAGTCCTTTTTTCACAACGGTATCCATGAAAGTTCATGATTTTTGCTTCTAATGCACGTCATTGAATTGGTGGTCGTAGTTTCTTCATTCAAATATTTCTTATACATTTCATGTCCGAGAGACCCCAAGGGTGACTGGGGAATAGAAGTATGGTCACCATTGGTCTTCCTCCGACCGGCAGTAAAACCCGTGCTAAAGTGGGGCGTCCGTTTGGCTGTGCGGGATGTACAAATTTGCAGCCACGTCCGGTCAGAATGGGGACGTTAAATCCGATGCCTCGTGTAAAGAGAGTGCCACGCTCTTTGCACGTTAAGAACCCTTGCAACAACTCTTTGAGGGGTCCGTAGGTGACCTGTTGCAAGGCTAAATTTTTGTCCCTATCCAATATACCCTCATTTCCCGTGGCAGTCCAAATTTCTCCGACCTTAATCCCTTCATCTATTACAGAACCTACCTATTGTATTTATTGTGAACTTGTTCTCGTCCTGAATATGCATGAAATATTTGCCACTGGACGTTAAGCAACCAACAATCAATCAATCAATCAATCAATCATGTCGGAGAGTCTGTTTTATTTCAGTTTTTGAAATGCCTTTCGCCACTTTTTTTTCCTTTTCGCATGTGATACCTTCTGTAGAGGTCTGGTTATACAAAAGGCTGTACATTTTAGGTCTCAAGCCAACGAATTCTTTTAAAGGAACACCTGAAAAGATTTTTTGAGGCACATGAGAAAGACAATATTTAATAATAATTTAACAGAAAATTCAAAGAAAAAAGGAAAATTTAAAAGAAAAATAAAATAAAAAAGGGAAATTTAAAAGAAATTTCACAAGAAAAAGGAAAATTTAACAGAAAATTCACATGAAAAAGGAAAATTTCACAGAAAAATAAAATAAAAAAGGAAAATTTAAAAGAAAATTCAAAAGAAAAAGGAAAATTTAACAGAAAATTCACATGAAAAACGAAAATTTAACAGAAATTTCACAAGAAAAAGGAAAATTTAACAGAAAATTCAAAAGAAAAAGGAAAATTTAAAAGAAAATTCAAAAGAAAAAGGAAAATTTAAAAGAAAATTCAAAAGAAAAAGGAAAATTTAAAAGAAAATTCAAAAGAAAAAGGAAAATTTAAAAGAAAATTCACAAGAAAAAGGAAAATTTGAAAGAAAATTTATGTTAAAACTTCAGAGAGAGAGAAAAAAAAATTTTTGTTTGAAAGAACTCACCACCAAGCTCATCTTTAAATTTCCCAACGACTTTCTTATATTTGCTGGAAAAGAGATGTTTCGTTTTGTTGAATGAGCCGTAGTTGGAGGTATCGAATAGGTCTTTGATAGGTTTCATGTCTTCATATACATCATCAGTCAGAATCTCATAACACAACGAATCTAAAATGAATTCAGAAATGTTAGCACAATACCAAAGAGGAATCTCTTCCTTTATTCTACTTATACAAAGGAGAAAACAATGAGAAATATTAGAAATTTAAAGAAACAATGGCTTTTATTTTAACAAACCAAAAAAAAAAAAATATCATACCTGTATCTGTAAACAGCAAGTTGATCTTGTCACCGTACTGAGGCTTCATCACCTTGTAATGAAATTCATACATCAGTCTCTTTGAAAGGTCTAAAATAGCTTGTCCGGCATAGATGGGTTTATTGAGAGTTAGGTTGATCTGTTGGTTGTGTACTCCAACGAGGTCTTCATTGAAAATTTGGCAGCATAGAAACGACGGCTGAGCTACTAACTTTTTTAGTTTTTCTTCCGAGGCTGAATTGATAAGTCTTAGATTCATCCTAGCACGCAAATTTTCCATACATTTACCAAGAACACTGAAAAAGTAGGAATACTTTTAGATAAGTACTAGAAGCTGACACAAAAACCACAAAACATAATTAAATCAATGTGGGTAATGCGACAATGAGACAACAAGCAAACTCGAGATCCTGACAACACTTTAAAATCTTACACATTTAAAAATAACATAGATATAGGAAGATGTGGTGTGAGTGCCAATGAGACAACTCTCCATTCAAATAACAATTTAAAAAAAAGTAAACCATAATAGGTCAATGAACGGCCTTCAACACGGAGCCTTGGCTCACACCGAACAACAAGCTATAAAGAGCCCCAAAAGTGTAAAACCATTCAAACGGGAAAACCAACGGTCTAATCTATATAAAAAAAAAAAACGAGAAACATACCTATTACACATCAGTTTGAAAAAGTCCTTCTCAAAGTCGTTGTTTGCCTGTTTTCTCATTTTGGTGTTGAATTCTATGTAGGTTTCAAGCCATGCCTTTTGTTGAAATCTTTATACTCTATGTATTTTAGTTATTTTCATTCCAAGTTCTGTATAAAGTTGTAAATTTTGATAATGCACCACATAGTTTGTCTTTTTCTTCAGACTTGGAATTAATTTTCGGGTTTTAATCCTAGGTTTCACTTTTTCCACACCATTTGCATTCTTCACAGAATTTAACTTTCCCCATAAATCAGTACTGTATTTCGATAGATCTTTGTCTTCAATAAGTAGATGTTCGGGTGCCAGAGGATAATCGTTATGTTTGTTTTGGAGATGTTCAGGATATTCTATGTCTACTTCTAAAATGTAGCCTTCTTTTGCGTCTGACTCGACTTTCTGTAACTCAAAATGACTAATTTCATCTTCATTTAAAAAATTGAAAAAACCATAAGGCAATGGTTGAGACATTGCCCAACCGTACAAATTGTTAGCATCTAGATACATGATGTGTTTTTCACATCTGATTCATTAAAGTCGTCAACATATTGATGATTAGCTCGACTGTATTTTTTGGTAACCATACTGACCCCACCTCGTGTTCCAAGCTCTATCATGTTGTACATGAGGGGATCAGTAATTAAATCCAGGCAGACACCGCTCATTTTCAATGCTGCTTGCCATTCCAAAACCTGGACTCGTGAAAAAGTGACTGGCATCCAACTTGTAATATTCAAGAGTCATGTCACGGAATCGTTCGAAAACATCTGCTAAGAGTAGCGTATCTGTTAATGCATACAAATTGTGAAAATCCCCCAAGGTTTTCATATTGAACGTGTTCCAGACCTTTTGAGGGTGTTCATACTTTTCATCAGAAATAGCTTCTTTGGTTAAGGAATTATAAAAAGCTGCTTTTGAAGGGAGAGCTGTCTCTTGAAATCTTTCAGAACAATTCACATAATCATAACAGTATTCGTTTTTCTGTAGCAAAAGTTTAGCGTGTTCGTCATTGGGGAAAGCTTTTCGAAATTGTTTGAAATTTTTAAAACCGTCTGCCGCTAAATTAGCAATTAACGTCTCAAAAGAGCTACTCATGCATTGGTATGTGTCTAAAAACCTCAGTTGTCCAACAGAAAAGGACACATATTTCTCCATATTGTTTGGTATACATGTTAATTTTTTGTCCTTGAATTTACCAGCTTCCGACAGCAAAAGGTGTGCATCAAAGTTCCGCAAATTATGAAAATAGACCGGAATGAAATTTGGATTTTTGAACATCAAGTTGCATCTCTGACAGGCTGCCCCTCTGTAATTGCTATACTTTGGTGATTCGTTATCTTCGTTTATACCTAAATGGTCGTGGTCACGAACTTTGATTATTTTGCCTGAAAATGGTTGATTGCATACATAACAGTTTGTAGCATTTTGAAATTGCGTTTCGGTTTCCACACTCATAATTAACTCCTCATAAATGTTCCTCAATATATCATCTATGTATTCTTCCTCTGTAAATATATTTTCAAAAAAGTGTTCGACTGCGTTCTCTCCTCTGTACACAACGGCTGGCTTGGAATATCTATCATTTGAACTGACCACAACGTAGGAGTAACCACATGGAACAAATTTTGTTTTATGTGTTGTTGACGATTGATTTGGGTCTGGTTGACAAGTATCCATCTTTTTTGCAAAGCATTCAAAGTCTGCATAGATGACAAAAGGAACACGCATTTGTTTATGAAAGTCTCTAAATTCTAAAATGGCTTCTCCTTCTTTTGGATAAGTCACTTTTTGAAAATCAAACTAATTACAATATAGTCTGTGTTCATTTAATAAGTCTTGTCTTATGAATCCGTGAAGACATCTTCTACAGTAAAACCGTTTGGTGTGAAATTTAGTCATTGATCCAAGGAAACGATCTAAATTTTTGATCCAACAGTAGTGAGTTTCCCCGTTCTGTGATAAATACAATAAATCGATCTCCCTATCTACATTTTCTAACTTTGTTTAATATAGTGGGAACACTTCTTCGTTTTCAAAGCCAAAAACATTGATTGAAATATTGTTTTGGTTTCTTAAATTTCTCCATTTTTGTTAAAGACACAGGATATTCAATATCGTTCATGTTCAATTCATTTTCGTGTGCCGTATAATGTGACTTCCGATATGGATTATATTCCATCGGATGTAGGGCTGCCAGTACAGACCATAGGAAACACTTTTGGTCATCATTTCTAATGTTGATAATTCCACCAGTGGCCTTAATTTTGTAATTTGAACCAGCTATGGGTGAGTATGGTAAATTATGTACTTCGAGGCATATAACTTTATTCAATATCCAGTTAGATCCCTTGATGATAAATTCTTCCATTACTCTGTTAATCGTTTGGAAAGCTTCATTTAAATTATGATCATTACTCTCATTCTGAAGAGATATGTAACTTTTGCTGCGGAAATGTGGGTGAGCCTTTTCTTGTTGTCCATCATCAATATCTCGAACCATCTCCACTCGAGCATTTACAACCATTTGACATTTTTTTGTTTCTTTTGCCGAGATACTATTATTTCTTCAACATCAGTTTTCGTATTAGCCAAAAAACGTAATAAATCATATTTTTCATCACCAATAGGCATAAGGTCTACACGATTCACTGATTTGTTAATGGCGCTTTACTTAAAACGAAACCGTTTACGTTTTATCTGACTGACAACTGGCTCCTCCGTTTTAGGCATTCTAACTCCTGTTTGGTTTAACGGATGATGGTTGGCAACATGGGTGAATAAAGAATCAACATCATCAAAGGAGACATCACAGCGTCTACATGTAAGTTGCTTAGATAATTGTTTATCTCGTTTGTTTATTGTGTGCTGTCCAGAAAACTTATTACCATGTTTGACTAAATTATGTTTTTGCGTAAACGATTTCCCACACGCTAAACACTGAATTCTGTTAAAATGTGAATTCATATGTCTGTTAAAATTTCTGTTGTATCTGAAAGTTTTATCACAAATATCACAATTTAACTTTGGTCTTTTGACATCAACATTTTCAGCACATGATTTCTTACGTTTGAGTTTATTCTCAACCTCTATGGCTGCCTTCACCAACATACCATCATCAGATTCGTCAAAATGTAAATCATTGGTATGAACACCGCGGTGAGCCATGCTTTTCACTTTACACAAAATGATAACAACTACCTAATTTCCTCAATTTAAATACACGTGACGATGTCACATGACATCTAAATTCGAAACGATAACCATTTCATCTTTGGTTTTTGTTTACTTTTCTCTTGCAGCATTGTTTTAAGGGGCATAGCGATATATGGTTTACTTTCCGCGTGTTGTATAATTTTTCTCTTTTTGTTTGACTTCTTCAATTTTTCAGGTTGAAAGTCCTCTACTAACTGTTTACTTTCCAAGTCATCGATATTTTCTGGTTTATCTTTCGGCTGATCTTGATCTCGATTTTCTCTTTTTTCCGGCAATGTCTCTGGATTTTTTAATTGTTCGTACCTCAGTTTAGGAATCAGAATCAGTTCGCGAGACATAACGGAGATATGTCTTTAGGAAAATAGGAAGCAGTCTACTTATTTTTAATAAATATAATTTTCTCTGTTTATATGCTGCTCCTTTGGAAACAATTTTACGTATGAGCTTCTTTTTCTTGGCCAGCAAAGTTTTATCAACACTTGAAATGGAGCAAACTCCTTGCATCACGTTGTATAGTATTTCAACCAACCATTCCAACTGTTCCTTGCTTAGTGATTTAATCGCTTGAGAAATTTGTTTTGCAGTAGCATTCAAAAGAAAATTTGCTAAATAGTCCTTCATTCTGCAGAGTGATATACGATAGGTGTCTGTCCAACTCCACGATCTGTTGTCAACTGATATGTTTTGTCTGTATGTGGATTTAAATCAATAATTAATGGGCGATAGGCTACAGATGTCGCCTTCTTGTATGCATCTAAAAAGTATTTAGACTGTCCGGGAAAAATCTGCCTACCAAGAGTTTGAATTTGTAACTGATCTCTATAATTCCGAAATAAAACAAAGTAATGGCAATTGAGGGAGGCTGTTCTCATGGCTTTGCCTTTACAATACAAGTTATGTAGAATCTGAATCAAAGTGATTGAATAATGGTGAATTCCTACAGTTAAGAGATGAACCAGTTCTTTACTATCTGCAGATTCCACCATCAGGTCATCTAAAACAAGAACCTTATGCCCTTGTAAAGTCCCCCATTCTGATAAAACATCCATATGGGGGAAACCTTGAAAAAATTCAATGTTTGGTATTGCTGATTTCATTTCATCGATAACTGACTGCCAAATACTGTAACAGTAAATCTGTAGTCTTTTCTCGTTTGATTGTATGTATGCGTTATTCCGCATGAATTTGTTAAAATAAACAGTGAGTTCTTTTTCTGAATACCCAAAAGAGTCAAATACTTCAAGACTGTTCTTTTTATTACAGAAAAATGCTACCCAATGTCTTCCTGGTAAGCCTGCGACATCTGTATTGGCTATCACACCCATTCCTGGTAGTAGGTGAACTTGAGACAGTTCATCAGATGAGAATACACCAAGAACAGATCGTTGTAAGTCAACGTCTGAAACAATGGCACACTTGAGCTGGTAAGCATTCATTCTAAAATGATGTTTCTTTCTAAATTTATTTCAAAATAAGCTGGAAACTCCGCATACACAACACACGTGGACGCTTTCGGCAGTGGTGCATTGAAATTGACTTCTAGAGAACAATTCCTTGTTTCACTAAGTTTAAGTACTGTCCCTCGTCGCTGAAATTTGGTTCTATTTCAAAACAATATAAAGCATTTCCTCCTGCTATATCATTTCTACTCAACTGATTTCCACTGTCTCTCATCCACTTGTTAGTCACTTCAAACATACTATTAAAAGCAGGTAGTATAGTTCGACTCGTGGCTCCATAGTTTAACTGCAAAATATTCCCACCTACAGGAACTTCCCACCTACAGGAACTTGGTTCAGTTTGAGCGTTATTTGACTAAGGTTGAAATGTTGAAAGTTGAATGGATTTAACGTATATGAACCACTAGAACTAGCGGACTCTGTAAAAGCTATAACGCAACGAGTCGGTCGGAGTCCGTTGAACAAATTATTGTAATTGAAACTAAGACTCCCAGCAGGTATAGAAATAAGGCGCACTTCTGTTCTGGTATAGGGATATCTAGCATTTGTTGTTTGTAGTTTCTGCGCATGTGCCATAATGACAGCAGGGTTTAAACGTATTTTGCACACTTTTAACACTATGTCATCGATGATGACTTGAAAATTTGGATCTTTTTCACTTGTCATCAAAGCAAACTCAGGTCTTGAACGGTAAAGTTTAACATTAATAGCTACTTGATTCAGCATGTATCTGTCCAGACTACATAAATCATGAAATAACGGACCTTCTAAATAACACACTTGACTTTGAGTAAAATACTGTGCGCGATCGAATAAGTAAGAATTGCCACCATTTTCTACATTACTATCATCAAAATGTCCTGGTTGATCTTTTTTCCATAACTGGCTAGTCAGCTGAGATTTTTTTGCTTTAGATCCAAAAGATAAAAGAGTTTGTATCATTGCCTTGTATGGATAATGTGTGGTAGTTGATGTCACCAACTTATTTTGTAATGTTATATCAATCTGTGAGAACATAGAATGTAGAAAATTGTTAACTGGACCAACATACTCAGTAGGTTTTAGACTGTCTCCATTGATATGTTTTATTTTCGCTTTTACATATAATTTTGTTTTTCTCAAATCTATATACTCCAGTGAATTTTCGGCTGCAATGTTAAATTCTACTGGTGCAGTTCCAGATAGCTGTGCTGTTGACCTATGCTCATCATAATACACTGAATCAATCGCTGTCTGTGTTGGTGGATATGAAAACAGATCCAAACCACTTGGTTGAGCTTCTTGGAACCCATCTAACGATAAAGCAGCCATTTACTTGAATATGTCTTTGAAGGTTTTCACAGAGCTTTGCAGTTTTTTCTTGTTGGTTTTTTTCTTCGTATGTCTCTTCTTTTTTGATGCTTTGGTTGTCTTTCTTGACTTTTTGTGCTTAGTCAACTTTTTGGTGGTTTTACTGGGCTTTTTGGAGGTCTCGTTCGTTCGACGTCTTTTGGAAGAACTGGCATCATAACTAGATGGCTTTCTTTTTAATGTCTTCTTCTCTCTTTCAACCATGTCCTTGGCCATTTCATCCGTTTGATGGACGGGGGAGACAAGTTGAATTTTTACTTTCTCATCAGAAGGGGTTTTGGTTGGTATGCCGATTGGTGTAATGGATGACCTTGAGGTTCCAGTTAGAGACCCACCTCCGATTTGTTTTTGACCTTTGTTAGTATTATGATGACCTTTTCTGTCTAGCTTCTCATAATAATTAATCCAGCTTCCTACATTTGGCACATACATCTTGTTCATTTTTAAAAGAATGGAAACGATTTGAAGTGTAGTGTTACCGTTGCAGGAATATCTAAAAATGAAGCTAGATTGTTGTCACCATCAGTTATATAGATATCAATATTATAGAGGTCATTTATTTTTACAGGAACATAATGCGGAACTTCGAAAATGTTTGACCAGTTTCCCATAGAGGCTGCACTTGACCTTCGAAGAAGTGGCTTTTGTTCTCCATCGACAATAGATTTACCACAAATATTAGAATACAGGTAAATGGATTCTGATTTAGATATGCTACTTGAAATGTCTGCTTCAACTAAGGCAACTCTCCAATTTCCATTTAAAAACACAGGTGAATTCAGTTGAGAAGAAAAAGTATATGCTTTGTTGTTTGGAAAATAGTTCAGAGATTTTTCACTATTGAATGTTATGTAGATGCTCATCTTCAGGAGTCATTTGGATCTGTGATATCCTCTTCATTCAACCACTGATTATATTTATTTGGCCACCCTTCAAACTTAACTAACCACTGAACCCGTCCATTTCTCTTACGGTTTCGAATTTTTTTTTCTACATACCACATAACATCTTCATCCTTGTTCACTTTAACCATCTCTGATTCATAAAATAATCCTTTTATGGAAGTTCCATCATACTCCTTTATTCTATAAACCGGTATAGCCTGCATTCTAAATCTTTGGCTAACTTTAAAAATTTCTCTTGTGAAATGTTCATCATATGAACGGTCAAATAGCATAGAAATGTAAGAAATACGAACGAAGTCATTAGCCTTAAAGTGGTATGATCGAGGCTTTTTTGATGTTATTTTCTTTGGTTTTAAATACATATATGCCCATATATCTGCTTCGTTTGTTTTGCTGACGTCTTTTGGTTGGATATTGTTCAAGCTTCTATGTGGAGTAGAATTGTATACTTTAACAATATCTTGAAGTACATCCAAGTACCTATGATTTCTCCTCTCTTTGAAGTATCGATACATCATATTTTTCACAGTCTTGATAACTCTTTCAGCGTAGTTAGCCTTTGTTTCTGAATTCTGTGTGGTTAAATATTGTATACCTTCATTTTTCAGATATGATTTCATTATGTTGTTGTTAAATTCTTTTCCTTTATCAGTTCGAATCTTTTTACATTTTCTGTTACCAGCTAAAATTTTCTTCATTGCCTCGACTACAACTTTTGCTGATTTATTTTTCAGAACCTGAATCCACAGATACTTTGAAAAGATATCCACGACGACTAATAGGTGTCGAAACTGACCGTTTTCACTTGCAATGTTTGACATATCAGCGAGGTCCATGTCCCACTGATCATCAATTCCAGATACAATTACACGTGCACGACGAAAAGAATGACGGAGTTCCTTTCTTAAAGTGTAACTGTCTTGACTTCGTAATAGTCTTTTTATCCTGGATCGTCCAACATTAGTGATTCCTTTGGATTTTAATATTCTGTATATTTTTTCGGGACCTACATGTGTGTTTTTATATGTGTTTGATATTAAATCATTTATTCTATCTTGTGTGTTCATCTTGGATTTTTTTTCATTCTATGAAAGGTAAGACCTGTTCCCTTTGTATTTAAGGCTGATAGTCTTGGTTTGGTATCTCTACTGAAGTAAAGTTTTGAAAGCGAGAAGGAATTTAAATTTTACTGATACTTTCTTCAATTGAGATACCTAACCAATATGCACTTTGTGAAAATATAATAAAGAGACAAAAAACAAAATACAAGTAACTAACTTTTATTGAAATATCATTAGAAACAGTTCAAGCATCTCATTGTTCGTCTAGTAAATGCAACAGAGGCTTAATCAGGAGTGGTATTAATTTGTGATACACTAACAGTGCTCGTCTTTTCCTGCTTACACTAATTCTCCCACTGGCTAAAAACTGAATAGTTTTCCGAAACTCTCGAAGTTTTCGTCTATGTACTATACTAATCATAAGTGTTGCATGATAAATTTTATATGCAATGTGTGAAATGGTTCGAATTTGATCATCGGAACTCTCCTCAATCAATTCTTTTCTTCTTCGGGGTCTATCATAGTAAAGTTCTTTCAGGAAGGTTGAGTTTTCAAAAATACGTCTGTTCATGATGAGTGTTTCACATCAAATGATAACCAATGTTAATGATCGGTGTGTTTTAAATTAATTTAATTCGTTTGTGAATCTTTCTTCCAACAACACCAATCGTTTGCACCAGTGTAACACATTTTTGGTACTTGGTTTATGTAGAATGCACCAATCCTTTAATGTAGATAAAACGTCATTTTTATAGTCATCTGGTACATCCATGAGCTTCACTTGATTGGACATCTTCCTAACCATGTCCTTCTCCGCTATCTGTTTATAAGCAATATCGAAATAAGTTTCTAAATGTTCCATTTTTGTCCACATTAAACAAGTGTGTTGAATCTGACTCGGGTGGTTAACTTCACACCCATAACAATGTTCTTTCACAATATCCGGTAAACAGTCTAAGACCATCCTAGCATACAAATATTTAAGTGTGTGATGCATAAGTTTCTCGGCTTTTTCAAATGTTGCATCCATAGTGTCTTCTCTCTACAACAATCAATCTGTAAATGAACGGAATTCGAGGATCTTCTTGTAGTGTATCTCAGTCATTACGTAACATTCTTATTTCATAAGTATGTTGGACAAGGTTTTACTAGATACCATCTTTGCAAACAAACAATTTGGATCCCATTTTATATGTTCTGTTTCGATATCGTCTTCTTTAGTCCACTTTTTTAGAGTAATGTCACAATAAAAACATGTCACTCTATCTCCTATATCGGTGTAAAAAAAAACCATTATGAGCTAGATCTTCTGGCTTTTGTTTAATCTGATCCGTCCAATTTGTATATGTTTGCATTCTATTTGTGAAATACATCATATTCAGATGGGCTGGTTTGAAACGGAGGATGTCTGAAAAGTAACATCCCGAGTCTGTTTCTAAATCCATGATTAATCAGTAAAGACTAACATTTACTTATATACCACCACCACCTGAAGTCTCTACAATTTGTATAATTAAATCGTACTTCCAGTCTTCAACCTTTAATTCAACAATGTCATAAAGCTGCTTTAATTCTATGAATCTACTCAAACCATACTTAAATAATAAGATATATATCTGCCCCTTTTTTGTTGATAACAAAACCTGGTAATGTAACCTCAGAATTTTCATTTTAAAATTATTAACAACATATATCGTCAAAAATAAATATAGTAACGTAAAAAAAAAAATGGATGCCGCTCACTCAAATAACAATTTAGACAAGCAAGGCAACCCAAAATTCTACAACATGGACAACATGGACGTCATCTCAAACGTACCCTGGTTACCAACCAATGTTGCTCTACCTTGAAAAAGTCAGCAACGTGGAAACAAAAATAGACGACAAACATACCCCTGGTTACCGACCAATGTTGCTCTACCTTGCAACGTGGAAACAAAATGGACGACAAACATAACCTGGTTACCAACCAATGTTGCACTACCTTGGTCAAAAGTATGACACGTGGACACAAACATTCCACCATCACTAGCACAATATTTACATAAGCTGCTCTACCTGCTCTACTGTTTTCTTATCCCTACTCTACTACTACTTACCATTACTGATAGTGAAGCGTAAAGGTCCGAATTTATTTGGCCGAGACTGGTTGTACAAACTCCAACTGGATTGGAAGGATATTTTCTCCGTCGTTGGAAGTGATAATCAATCGAGTGATTTAAATGTGATCTTGGAAGCAAATAAGGAAGTTTTCAAAGATGAACTTGGAACTGTAGAAGGCATGAAAGCCAAGATTTATGTTGATGAGAGTGCCGTACCGAAATATTTCAAGGCTCGCCCTTTGCCGTATGCGTTGAAGGATAAAGTGGAGATGGAACTTGAACGTCTTGAGAAGGAGGGTCAGATTCAGCAAGTGGAATTTTCCGACTGGGCCGCTCCAATAGTACCTGTAGTTAAGGAGAACGGATCTATTAGAATTTGTGGTGACTACAAGGTAACCGTTAATGCCGTTTCAAAGTTGGATAATTATCCGATTCCTAAAACTGAGGATTTATACGCAACGCTTGGAGGAGGACAAGAATATACAAAATTGGATTTAAATCAAGCATACCAACAAATTGAACTTGATGAGGACAGTAAAAGGTATGTGACTATAAACACGCACAAGGGTTTATTCAGATACAATAGACTTCCTTATGGTGTAGCGTCCAGCCCAGGTATTTTCCAGAGAACACTTGAAAATGTTGTTCAAGGTATATCCAATGTTTTGGTTCGAGTAGATGATATACTGATAACGGGTAAAACCAGGGAGGAACATCTAAATACTCTTCCTGAGGTTTTGTCTAGATTTAAGAGAATCGGAATTCGGTTAAAGAAACAGAAGTGTGTGTTCATGGCCGAAGAAGTTGTTTATTTGGGATTTAAAATAAACAAACACGGAATCTATCGAGTGGAGATTAAAGTTGAGGCGATCGATAAAGCCCCGAGTCCGACAAACGTGACAGAACTGAAAGCTTATCTTGGAATGCTGAACTATTACAATAGATTCTTAGCGAATTTGTCTCACTTGTTAAAGCCGCTCCATATACTTCTACAGAAAGACACAAAATGGATATGGGAAAAAGAACAGGAAAAAGCGTTCATAGAGTCAAAACAGCAGTTGAAATCCGCATCAGTACTTGTACATTTCGATCCGAAAAAGAAATTAATCTTAGCATGTGATGCATCTCCGTATGGAATACGGGCCGTACTTTCGCATAAAATGGACGACGGCAGTGACAAACCAATAGCTTATACATCTCAGACACTTACATCAGCAGAGAAGAATTATTCCGTTCTTGGGAAGGAGAGTCTGGCCATAATATTTGGTATCAAGAAATTTCATCAATATTTGTATGGACACCCCGTTACAATCATAACCGATCACAAGCCGCTTATAGGTTTATTTCGAGAAGATAAACCTATACCGACAATGGCCGCATCTTGAATTCAAAGGTGGGCACTGACTTTAGCTGCATATGAGTACACGATTGTATACAAAGAAGGGAGTCTGAATGGTAATGCGGATGGACTAAGTAGACTACCGCTGAAAACAAACATTGAAAAGACACCAACGCCAGGTGATACTATATTATTAATGGAACATTTAGCCACTA